TACTATATAATAGCGGAGATCATCATGTGATCACGTGAATTTCAGAATCATCCAATTTCACGATCATCCGCGACAATGAATACTGTTATTCCATTTTTCACCCATTTAAATTTAAAATCTTCTCAGTAAAGAAGACCTAAAACTGAAAGGTTTGGGTAGATGTTTTTCCATATTTGACGAATAGTAAAGAAATTTAAATTGTAAAAGGAGGAGCCGACGTAACTAAAGTTGAAACTTTAATGGTTGATCGAAAAGAAATTTTTTTTCATTAGGTTTTTTAGGTAGTATAGCGAATATTACGAAAATATGCAATTCTCAATTGTGATGCTTGAGCGTCATCACGATTATTATCTGATCAATTGATTTAGATACTTGAGAACAGCCATAATTGAATACATTTTTGTTAATGCCAATATCCAAAATTTTATTATGACAATTTAATTGAATTGTTTAGCACTTACAGTAATTTTACATATATTTTAATATATATACTAAAGTATAAACTGCATGGACAATTGTAGACATGGACAAGCCAAGAGAGGCCGACATCAAAATGTACAACATTGATTGAATAGTCAAAGTATTAAAACGCAAATTCTCATAAATCTGAATTATAAAGATGTAAACAAATGAAATTTCTTAAGCGGAGTTGTAAAAAGTAATCGTTGATTAAATTGGTATCTATTATTTATCATTAAATTGATATAAGTAAATGATATTTATAGTCGCGAACTAAATTGACATGAAATAAATGATTTGATGAAAGTAAAGCTTAATAAAATAAAAGGTAAAGGCATTATTTAAAATTCTTGAAATCCTAAAATACCAAGTACGGATTTTAACCGACATTTTCATTAGCCGCGAATAAGTTTATCCAAGCAAAAAGTACTCGGTACTGACGCCTACTCTCATTACATAAATAGTATGAAAATGAGGCGATTTGTGTCAATTGTAATTAAAACTAATTTAATATAAAAAAATTTAAATTACCACCAAATTTTTACAAATAAAGCTTTCAGAATTAACTTATTTCAAAAATAAGCAGGAGGTAAAAAAGTCCTACTTTCTGTTTTAATATTCTGAATCAGAAAATTAAATAGACACTGATGATAAAATAGATTTTTCTGACAATTATGTAAATAAGCATACTTTAAAAAAAATAAAATAAAATACGTCACATATTCACCCAAAATCAGATACCGGATCATTAATTCTGAAACCCTTAATGAAATGATATCATATATGAGTACTGCTAAGGCAAAACCTATAAGCAAATATTTGAGGTATATATTACGTATTAAATCATTGTATACAATGATTTAATACGTAATATCACAATTTTCCCAGGATTAAACTCATACCTCAAATTTAGGTTTTGCCTTGGCAGCACTCATATATAAAAGAGTAAATTGTTGACTTAGATTTTATAATAAAACTCGAACCGCAGGATTAAGAAACCATTATTATCGACAAGAATAAAATAAAGACATCAATTCACTAAATGATTTAAATGATATTTGAGTTACCTAGGTTGTATTCCTTACACCGTCCTAAAATTTTCCTGAAGACTGTAAAAAATAATTAAACTAACCGCCAATCTTAACGAACGAAATAATAAAGCCCATAACGATATAAGATATAAGAAATTACACTTACTAAATCAACGCAAGTAAAATTATAATAAAGGTAAATTTGTAAATTTAGGCGAAATTATGAAAGTAACTCTCGTAATTAACTCTCGTAACTTAAAAAAGAATATCACCTAAAAAAAAAAAACCAGGACCTAGGAGTATCATGGTCGGTGGCGGGTATTCAGTGTCTTGTTCGAAAGGTATTGTACGGGCATACAGTAAGTACTATACGTTGTTACGGGTAAAATCTCTGCGAGTCTGGTAAAGTACCTAAATAGTGCAGTCTGCTATGTCGGACCGAATAACAAATTTTTCCAGGACGATTTTTCAAGGCAAGTTAAACTCACTTTTTTATTCACGAATGTGAATAATGTAAAGGATTTTATTATTAATGATGAGAATTATGAGTTATTCTCGCTTTATTTGAATGGAGTTCTACATATACATTCTGTTTCTATAATTATTACAACATATTCACTTTATTCTTATCCATCTCATTCTTTCCTTTCACTTTATACACCTCCTATTCTCCGAATTCCCTTCTTTTCGGCTAATGGTAAGATTCAAAATTTTATGTATAATCTTTCAGTAAAATTTCTAAAATATTCATTATAAAAAGGTTTCCACCGCCACAATATTACAAAATACCTAGGCATTAAAATTCAACGTTGATTTTAGATTAATAGATGTTTTGGAAACAATTTATAAGGTCCGATATTGCAAATTAGCAGATATCATGAAAAAAAAACAATATAAATTTATTCTAACCTCTTAATTCCCTTCTCTTCATCCGAAAGTATTAAGAGCATTTCTTAATCCTTTCCAACAAATATTTTTAAGACTTAGAGAGAATAAATCATAATTTTGACGGGCGCTAATTCTCTTAAAATACAGAGAATTAGCAGCCCAAGCTAATGCTTTTCCTCCTATAACATCCATATTACTTGCGTAAATATGAATGTCTCCCCACCTTCTCAGTTAAGGTGAGTAAATATGGAGACCTCAGGAAGCTTCTGCTTGGCAGAAGCGATATTTTTGTTTGTATGTCAAGCGAAGTTTCTTTATAAGAAAGAAACGCTTCTTCAGAATCATTAAACTTTGGACTGAAAAGGGGGGCTTTGCACTACTAAAAATTTTTTTTAGTCGTTTATTTTAAAGCTGTACAATTATTACACATATTACACAATATTTCATATCAATTTATCTATATGCCACAGATCACGGGTAAACTGTTTTGGCAATTTCTTAACCACCTCTTGGTATGAAATTATGCTTTGCATTTATTCTAAATTTCAATCTTAATCTAACCTTTGTCTTTATAAAAATTGCTTATGAAAAGAAAAGATATTTCTAGACGGATTGATTCAGACTATAGTTCTGTAGTTATTCGACAAAAGATTGACGAAAGATAATACCAGATTTTGGGTGTTCTCAAGTACTTCAATCAATGGATCGGAAGCAAAATTTTGATTAGTCGGAAATTGTATAAACTAACCAAGTGAGCTTCCATTTCGATCAACAAAATCTGGAGAAGCAGATCATCATATAGTTGCTCTGATTGGATAAAATTTAAGCCCACATTTAGCACTATGAATTTTAACAAGCCGTTCTTCGATTAACTTTATTAACCACTCAATTAATCGCGATGATTTGAGCAGTATCTCGATCACTAGCTAATTACATTGAGGGTGCTGCTTGAGAACGCCCTTTGTCATTTGTCAAAAAAATTTTAAACGACCAAATGACAAAGCTGACAAAAGATAAATTTTAATTAACAAAACTAAAATAAGTTAAAATAAACTAAATGAATTAAAACCTAAAACTGAGGAATTTACTATCGTTACTGCATATTTAGTTCTGATTTTAATTTGGCGACGTCATGAATGTCCATTAATCCAATAAGCAATTGCCAGATTTACGCCAGTTGAATTAAGTAAAAGTTTATGTATATAGTACTTTTATAGTTTATTACCCGAGTAATAAACGTGGTCCTCCTTCCAAAAAAAAAAAAAAAAAATTTCGACTCGAAGAAAAGTGATCGAGTAGAACAAATGGATTTCCTTATGTCAAGAAAATGATCTACATCCGATGTAACACACAATTTTGATAATATTATATATATATATTG